ATGTGTAATGACAGGCGCCCTCCACAGCAGTGTCAGGCAGAATAGGAAGGTATTTCAGAGAGTTTGTGGGTTCCTGTAGACCTCAGGTAGCTAAAAAGAAAAAGAAAGAAAGTTCATGGAAACATAGAATTAAAAGATAATACAATTCTTTCCATGAACTTTTTGAAGTCGGCGTGTGGTTTCACGGCCCTGAAACTCCCCTGGGCTCTGCCTGTCCATCCCTCCTCCGTCCTGCCAGCCCCTGGTGACTTCAGATCTCTGTCATTCTGTCATCTCTGTAGGTTTGCCTTTTCTTTTTTTTTGTCTTTTGTCTTTTTTCGTGTCCGGCAACGGATCGCAACCCTCAGTGTTGCCCCCGTACCGGACCGGGGACCGGCAACAGGATTGCAACCCTCGGTGTCGCTCCCGCGCCTCGCTCAGCCAGTGAGCGGGAACCGGTCTGTATGTGGGATCCGAACCCTCGGGCGGGAGCACCGCCGCGCTTCCCAAGCGGGGCACTATCCAGTGCACCACCGGGCCGGCCCTGTAGGTTTGCCTTTTCTAGCAGGCCATATAGTTGGAATCATTCAGCTTTTTCATGTTGGCTTCTTTCCCTTAACAATTCAATCCCTTAAGTTTCCTGTGTCTTTTCATGGCTTGATAGCTCATTTCTTTTTTTTTGCCGAATAATATTCCAGTCTCCCCACCTTTTCTTGGCAAATGGGGACACTGAGGCCCAGAGAGGGAAGTGACTGGGTCAAGAGGTTCCACGTTCCGTGGAGAAGCTGAACGTGGAGCCTCGTGCGCCTTCCTTCCAGGAGCCTGTCCCTAGAGCCTCTGTGCCAGGCAGTGTGCTGGAGCCTGAGGCCAGTTCTGTCACAGCTTCATCACCCCCTTTAGTGGCTCCGGGGCAGGCAGCTGAGGGGCAAAGGGGCGGGGGATGGTGGACACCTAATTGCTGTGACCCACTTCCTGCATGTGTTAGGCCTGCAGACACCCACGTCCCTGACTGCTGGGAAGGGGTGGCCGGTGCTGAGTTCCAGCTTCCACCTACTGGGGAGCTGAGGGCTGGGATGTGGGAGCCCGCCCTGTCCTCAGGCCTGGGGACAGGGTGGAAGGAGACTGCGTGGTTGGGCCATGGGCTCGGGGCCTAGACCCACTTAAGAATCTTATCTCCCTCCATTTCTCTTATCTCTGAGCTGCCCTTCCCACTGAAGCTCCTCCTGACCTGCTTCCCGGGACTGTCCCCACCTATTTACTTATCTCCCTTCACTCCTGCTCCTCCCTCCACAGGTCCTGCAGCCTGAATCGCCTGCCCTCCATCGTCCCTCTGCAGGGAGGACGCAGCAGTGACCTCAGACGTGCAGGACCCCTCTGAGTGCCAGGCTCAGTGCCTGTACCTTAGGGATATGACTGAATTTCATCCTCACAGCAGTCCTGTGAGAGGGGAATGTTATTACTCCCCTTGGGTGTGTTTGGAGGACAGTGAGGCTTCGGGAGGAGTGGCTTGCCCAGGATTCCAGGGTCCCTGGGAGGCTGAGCCACGATCTGAGCCAGGCCAGGCGTTTGGAGCCCGAGCACACGATCTGCCTGCTGTGCTGCTTCCCCGCCCTTCCTCTCTCCTGGCCGGGCAGCGCTGGAGCTGAGGGGTCCAGTGCTCTTGGCTTTGCTCCTGCTCATCCTCACCCTGGCAAGGGTTGCAAGATCTTACCCCCTTTTCCCTTCCTTCCTTTCACCCCCTCCCCGTCCATCTGGCCAAGAAGCAGGGTGTGGCCATCGTCCCCACACCTAAGGTTGGTAAGGGGGTGGCATGGCTGCCTTGCCTGTGCTACAGGTGCTTTTCCTGCTTGCCGCCCTTGACCTGACAGTGGCTCTGCCAGGCAGGTCTTCTCAGCCCCTCCTGACAGGTGCGGAAGCAGGGACTTTAGCAGTTCAGCCGGTCATTGAACAGCCACATAGCTGGCAAGAGGCAGGTTTTGTTTTTTTTAAAAGATGACCGGTAAGGGGATCTTAACCCTTGGCTTGGTGTTGTCAGCACCACACTCAGCTAGTGAGCGAACCAGCCATCCCTATGTAGGATCTGAACCTGTGGCCCTGGTGTTATCAGCACCGCACTCTCACAAGTGAGCCACGGGCAGGCCCTAAGAGGCAGGTTTTAACACAGGTCCCACGACTCTGAAGCTGCTTTATTTTATGTAGATATGTATGTATGTATTTAGCCTGTAACCTTGACATTGGTGTTACCAGCACCACGCTCTCCCAAGTGAGCTATGAAGTTTCTTTAAAGTGTACCAGACTGACTGCCGTGCCTTCGAGGGAGGGTGTCCCCTGGTGGGAATTCAGGGATTGGGACACCTAGGTTTTGTTTGGTCTTGTTATTTAGTGAGAAGGGCCTGTTTCTGGCCTCCAGCAAGCCCTGACCTGGTGTTCTAAGGTCACTCTGGGGTCTGTGTTTTTCCGGCTGAGTACGTGGCCCAGCCTTGCCCGCCGTTTCTCTGCAGAGCTGTCCCCTCCTTCCCTCCATCCCTGGGGATTCTCTTGTCTTCTCTCTCTTCTCATTTCTGGCTGTAAATGGCACATTTTCATTTGTCCTCTGTATTTTGGGCCCAGGTCCACCACAGTAGCCCATCTCCTTCTCCGTCCCTGTCCTCTTTCTCCCTTCTGTCTCCTGTTGCCCTTTAGAAAATTTTTTTTGTAAAATATGCATAACATAAAATTTACAGTTTTTACTATTTCTGAGTGTATAGTTCAGTGGCATTCAGTGTTGTGCGACCATCACCTTCCCCATCTCCAGAACTTTTTCATCATCCCAAGCTGGAACTCTGTGCCCACTAGACAGTCACTGCCCACTCCCCTCCCCAGCCCCTGGCACCCACCGTCCCACTTTCTGTTACTATGAATTTGCCTATTCTAGGTACCTCACAGAAGTGGAATCATACAGTATTTGTCCTTTTGTGTCTGGTCTATTTCACTTAACATAATGCATGTTGTAGCATGTGTCAGAATGTCTTTGCTTTTAAAGGCTGAATAATATTCCATTTTATGGATATGCTGTACATTGTTTATTCATTCATCTGCCGATGGACATTTGTGCTGTTTCCACCTTTTGGCTAACCTGGTGCTTTTTGACATTTCTCTCTATCAGCCTTGATATTCCCAGAGCCTTGAGCTCCATATCATTAAAACCCTCCCCCTCATCCCAAGATATTTACCTATAATGGTTTAACATGTTATCCTCCCTAGGTGCAGTGGGTTCTTGTTATTTGTGGTTGTTATGCCTTATATGAAGTTGAGGTGAACACTGAATTAGGAAATACTCAACTATTGCCCCAAGGAGAGATACAAGGTTGGGTTCCTGTGAGCTTCTGGTCACAACATTTTTGTCAGCTGATTGATTTATAATATAATGTGTGTGTGTGTGTGTGTGCGCGCACATGCTTGCAGCTGGCCGGCATGGGGATCAGAACCCTACTATGTGTGTTGTTGTGTAAAGATACCTTATTTAATATATATTGTTGATTCGTTAACATTGAACGCATGGCCAACAGCACTGTATGAGGTTACTTCAAAAAGTTCACAGGACAACTTGCATTACCTTGTATAATTCTATTGTTCCATGAACTTTTTTTTTCCCCTGTGAACTTTTCTTTTTCTTTTTTTTTTTTATTTTTTATTTATTTATTTATTTTTTTCCTTTCTGTCTTTTTTCCGTGTCCGGCAACGGATTGCAACCCTCAGTGTCACGCCCGTACCGGACCGGGACCGGCAACGGGATCGCAAACCTCGGTGCTGCACCCGCACCCTCAGTGTCGCGCCCGTACCGGACCGGGACCGGCAACGGGATTGCAAACCTCGGTGCTGCACCCGCACCTCGCTCAGCCAGTGAGCAGGAACCAGTCTGTATGTGGGATCCGAACCCTCGGCGGGAGCGCCACCATGCTCCCAAGCGGAGCACTATAGCAGTGCGCCACCGGGCCGGCCCACCCCTGTGAACTTTTCAAAGTTCCATAGTATTGCATATGTAGATGAAACTTATCGAAGACTTGCATTTTCTCCATAAGGCACGTCACAGCCTTCTTGCACTAGGTACACTGGACAGCACTTCAGCACTATGCATGGGGCTGTTTTAAACAGCAAAATCACGAACAAAAAGCACAAAAATGTGGGCCGGCCCAGTGGCACACTGCTACAGTGCGCCACTTGGGAGTGTGGCGGCGCTCCCGCCGAGGGTTCGGATCCCACATACAGACTGGTTCCTGCTCACTGGCTGAGCGAGGTGCGGGTGCAGCACCGAGGTTTGCAATCCCGTTGCCGGTCCCGGTCCGGTGTTGCCGGTCCCGGTCTGGTACGGGCGTGACACTGAGGGTTGCGATCTGTTGCCGGACACACACAAAAAAAAGACAAAAAAAAAAAAAAGCACAAAAATGTGAAGAACATGGCACTAAATAGGCTGTGAACAGGACGCTTACTTGCAGAATGACAGCTGAGTCAAGAAGGTGGAGGGCAGCCGTGTTTGACCTCAGCTGGGAGCACGAATATCAGACAACTCCATATTTGTGGCAGCTCAGCACACGCACTTGTCTGTGAATGACCGTGACAGCCCTGCAAGTGTTGAATTTTAGGGTTGAGATTTTAGCGAGGAGGCAAATTTGCAGACATGGAATCCATGACTGCTCTGCGATTCATGACGAGTGACTGTACCTGCATCTTCACAGTGACTCTGCACCCCTGACACAGCCTAGACAGAAGGATGGTGACGGCAGGACTGTGTCTTATTTGACCTTGTTCCTGTCTTAGTCCGTTTGTGCTGCTGTAACAATACCACAGACTGGGTAATTGATAAAGAACAGGGATTTACTTCTTCTGGTGCTGGAGGCTGGGAAGTCCAAGGATGAGGGGCCTGCCTCTGGTGAGGACCGTCTTGCTGCATCGTCTCATGGCAGAAGGAGGAAGGGCGAGAGAGCACACAGGAGAGAGAGGGAGGGAAGGGGGCCACTCTTTTATCAGGAATCGACTCCTGCGGCAACAAACCCACTGCCGTGATGATGGCGTTAGTCCACTCGCTAGGGCTCTGCCTGATCACCTCTGATCTTAGTCCACTCGCGAGGGCTCTGCCTGATCACCTCTGAGAGGACCCACCTCTCAACAGTGTTGTATTGGGGATTAAGCTTCCAACACATGAACTTTGGGAGACACATTCAAACCATTGCAGTCCACAGTGCCTGGCATATAGTATCTGCTCAATGTACACTTTTGAGGTCTGGCTGGTTAGGTCAGTTGGTTAGAGCGTGGTACTGATAACTCCAAGGTCTAGGGTTTGATTCCTGTACCAGACAGCTGCCCCCCAAAAATCAATATGCAGTTTTGAATGAGTGAATGGAAGACATAAGGGGCTGAAGCACAAATACTGCGGTGTCAGGCGTGAAAATAAGCAGGAAGGGAGATATTTTTGGCTAGGGAACCTGCTCATCCACCTGTGTGGGTCGCCTGCTCCTGTCCTTCCTAGGTACAGCCCTCTCTTCCCGTCTTCCAGAGGGTGCAGATGACGGTCATGGTAGTGGTCACTGTGTAGCAGAAAAGCGCAGGCCTGAGGTGCCGTTCTGGGCCCCGTGTTAACTAGTTGTGTGGCCTTCACCTCTCAGGGCCTCCGTCTCCTCTCCTGTGAACTGGTGGGCACCTTGCTGCTCCACAGTTCCCTCCTCAGTCACACAAACCTGGGGAGCCCTGCAGCTCCCGGCAGGGACCTTCACCAGAGGCTGAAGGAGCAGCGGGTTCATGCTAAGAAAGAGACCGGGCCGGCTCTCGCCTCCACAGGGAGCCACTTCTCCAGCTGCCCTCGGCCACCAGCCCAGAGTCTGGTCCCGTCCCTGTGAGTCTTCACATCGGACGAGCATCCCTCATGCTGCCGAGTCAGCCCATGTCCCCCTCCTGCTGTCCACAGAAGCGTCGCCAAAATAGGTAGGAGAAGCGTCGTGGTGCGCAGGCGGCGTGCACGGCGGTGAAGGGCGTCGGAGCCCGCAGACTGCGCCTCGCCACTTCCTAGCTCTGGGGCTTGGGCACAGCGCTTCACCCTGCAGAGCCTCAGCATCTTCACAGGGACGTGGGAGCACTGGAGAAGATGCAGTCAAGGCTTAGCCCAGTGCCTGGCACAGATTGGGCGTTCAAAACTGGTACCTCCTTGTGTTGATATTAGTGTAGTTCCTCTCTGGGGAGCAGAATATGTGTGTTCTGCAGGGGCATCTGCCCAGTACGCAGGGGCATCTGCCCAGTACGCAGGGGCATCTGCCCAGTACGCAGGGGCATCTGCCCAGTACGCAGGGGCATCTGCCCAGTACGCAGGGGCATCTGCCCAGTACGCAGGGGCATCTGCCCAGTACGCAGGGGCATCTGCCCAGTACGCAGGGGCATCTGCCCAGTACGCAGGGGCATCTGCCCAGTACGCAGGGGCATCTGCCCAGTACGCAGGGGCATCTGCCCAGTACGCAGGGGCATCTGCCCAGTACGCAGGGGCATCTGCCCAGTACGCAGGGGCATCTGCCCAGTACGCAGGGGCATCTGCCCAGTACGCAGGGGCATCTGCCCAGTACGCAGGGGCATCTGCCCAGTACGCAGGGGCATCTGCCCAGTACGCAGGGGCTGTACACGGGGGCAGCACTGTGTGCTGCCTGAGGGACAGGTCTCCTTTCCTACCCCAAATCCCCTGTCCTCATTCCCTTCTCTCCTGGCTCCTGAGTTGGAAGTCAGCATGGAAGACAGAGGACACCCGTCAGGCCGAAGCAGTCCTTGCCAAGGCCAGAGGAGCGCTGTGGGCAGTGAGTGCTACAGCTTAGAGCCTTTGTGGCCTGGGGCTCAGGGAGCCCTGTGGGTGCCTGGGCAGGCCTGGAGTTGAGCTTGGTGCATGCAGTGTGCCCTGTACCTTCTGCCTGAACTCATTTCTCCAGAGTTGTCTGAGAACAGATGCTCAGTAGATGTTTGCTCATGGACTGTTGGCAAGAGCTGAGTACAGATGCCCACCCCTGAGCAGGGAAAAAGTGTGAATACACTTGGGGTTCAGGAGATGGTGAGAAGACCAGGGGGCTGCAGGGGAGAGTGGAGACGAGTCTGGAAGGTTCGGGTCCACTGTTCCTGCTTTTTCCCCTCTCTCCCTTACTTTAAGAAATGAGGTCAGGGCAGTGAGGGCTCAGAGACCCCAGAATCGGGCTGTTTGCAGCAGTATCTATTTTAGGGTTTTTCTTTTGGCGGCTGGTGCAGGGATCCGAACCTTTGACCTTGGTGTCATAACACTGTGCTATAACCAGCTGAGCCACCTGGCCAGCCCTGCAGCGGTGGCTTATACCTGCTTCTGCTTCAGCAG